TGATTCCCTGGAAAAGTATTTCGATAACAAATAAAAAAAAAAAAGAAAAACCCGGGCACACATTAAACGCTACGAAGCGAAGTTCAATTTACTGTTATTGCCTGTACTAAGTATTCCAAGAGTGGGTGTTATCTTTTATGCATGGGCGTGGCTCTGGGTGTGGGCTATGGATGCGGGGATAAACCCAATTCGAGTTCCACTGAGATGACAAAAAATAATGCCTATCGACAGGCCAAAGCGGAGAAGTCAGTAAATAAATAAATAACTTATAGGCAACTAAACTGAGGATGGCCATTAACAACACAGACACAGAGGCAGGCAGGGAGGGAGAGAGCGGATTCAAGACATCCAGGGATATGGGATATGCCAGCTTGGAGCGTTAAGTGCGCTGCCGCGACTCGTTGCGTATACGCCACGTTACCCATACGCCGCGTAAACAACAAGAGACAAAAGGACAAAATACACCAGTGAGAGAGAGACGCTTACGGACTTTTAAGCAGCTTGTATAGCATGTGGTGTAGATGGCTATATACACACACTGTTGCCACATATAATGCTATATATATATCGGTCATGGGTATGTTAGTGTTCGATATCGAGGGCGTAAATATTCATGCAGCACATTTGGAAAAAGCAGACAGCTGATAAGCCCGCCGCCACTCGCCTCCACTTTCACGAAGAATGTGAAAAATCTAAAAAGGGAAGAAAAAGAACGCTCTTATGGCACATCTATATATGTATGTGTATTTGCCTTCTTGCTGGATTTTGCGAGCTGACTGCAAACCTAAGATAACTCCAGTCACACACACACACATACACACACATCCTTGGCCTTGTTCCATTCCATCCTTAGACCTTAGCTCCGACTTGTCCTGCCTTTCCCCCGAAACCCATAAATTATGTATGCCGCACATTTTTAAGCGCAGCAATCCATCGAAGTTGCTCGATCCTTAGTTCGCCAGGAATTCACAGAAATGGGAATTACTTTTCAAATATTTCATGGCACCAGCACCATCGCCTGGCACTCTGCGATTCAATTTGTTGGCCTTGCGTTCCCCCAAAAAAAAACAAGTTTATTTAGCATATAAATTGCTAAACATTTAAAGTGCAATTTAAACCGACTTTCGCGGCCATTTGTTGCACTGTCTGTCCACCCCGTTTCAGCAACAGTTGCCATATGGCAACTATATATACAATATATGGAGAAAAGAAAGGAGGCCGGAACATAAAACTCTGCCTCATTAGAGGCGCAACTCTCAATCTCTGTTCTGCGAATGATTTATGATGCATGGCATTGTCTCGTGTACCCCAGGCCAAAAACAAACCCTTAGCTGCCCCATTTCCCTGTTCTTTTTTTTTTTTATTGAAATACTTGAGGCAGAGTACAACTTCAATAAAGTGGAAAAAGGTGCCATAAACAACAAGCGGCGAGCCTTTTTTTACGACACGGCCCCGCTGTGTGTGCGGAAGACGATACTTCTCTAAACAAAGGCAAAAAAATAAATAAATAAAATGCGGGGACGGGGCAAAAAAGGAAAACAATTGTAAACAGTGGAAAAAAAGGAAAATCCCCTTAACTGTGGCACAAATTTTTCATTTATTTATTGAGACGAGACAGGGAGAGACAGCAAACGTAGAGGGGGGGAGTCCCCGATGAGGAGGGTCAAATGGGATGGGCGGCAAAGTGAAATTCACTTTCACATTTTCCTTATTCCTGTTACTTTTTTTTTCCTCCGCTGCCTTCCGCCGTTTAAATGAATCGGACAATTCAATTTATGCTCTGCCAGACAGACAAACTTCATTAGGACATCTTCCCGACCTCCGAGGACCCACTCAGAAATCAATGAAAACCAATATTTCATGTTGTATCATTTTATTTTCAATTGTGTGTTTTTATTACCTGCCCTAGGCTATGACTTGGCATTAAGAGAATATTTAATAAACGAAATATTAAAGAGGGTTGTGTGACACCTTAATTGGATTGTTGTTTTGTGCAACATATTTAATTTATAACCATTGATGTCTTCGGCTTAAATTCCGAATTAATCTCAACATTAATTCTACAAAAGTATTCTTTTTCCCCCACAAAGGAAGTGAGAAAAGCGGAGATTGGGAGAATGGCAAATATCAGAAAAGTTTTAATGCTCCAAATCGATGAATGACCGCAGAACTTTTCCCCCCTATTTCCCTTGGACACTTCCCAAGTACAAGACAACTTTTCCTAGCACTAAGCTAAGGTCGAAGCCGAAGCCGACGTAGCCTGTAAATGAGCTCGGGGAGTGGGGTCAGTAGGGAGTTAGCTGCATTGTTACCAAAACTTTGTTGAGGTTAGTTCTCCGTGTGTCTGTCTGTATAGAAAGTTTTCGATGTATTTGCTTTTGGCTCAAAGTCGGCTGACTTTGTCACTTGTGTTGCCCTCAGTTGAGATTTCGTTGCATTACCGCTTAATATATATTTGTGTAGATTCAGATAGCTAAGCACCAGCAGCAACAGCAGTAGTTGCCACCACCACCAGGTGTGCCATTAATTATCGCCCTTAAAAAAGTGTCCCAAGGTGTCGTCAGATTTTACCCCCGCAGCGACAGCAAAAGCACTTTAAATGAATTGCATAATCTGCAGGGTGTTGTGCTTTCCACCCTTGATCCTCCAGGGCTCCTCCTACCTGTGCCAACGGGAATTAAGAGCCTGTCTGGCGAGGAGCACACCCCGCTTCAGCTCAGTCCCAACTCATACACCAAACTCCATGTTGTCGCGACGCGGCAGACTGTAAATAATGAAGTTTGCATCTGCGTGGCAAGTGGCAGAGCAGATGCTAAAAGTGCTCTTAGGCACAGGAACAAAAAATTCATGCATACACTAAGATATATATGTATGTATGTATTTACATACTTACTTACACAAATGATTGTCCAAATATAAACAAGGAAATTTATGAGATTTACTGCAAAGGAAAGTTATACACTGACAAACTAGGAAGTTTTAGTAAAGGTGAAGTGTTAGAAAAATGATTAGAATTAAGTTTTTTTGCAACTTATTTGTAATTAGTATGATATTTTAATTTTTTTATATTTTTAATATAATTTTCTATTGTTTTTAAAGATGTTTGATAAGAAACACAAGAAATACTATATTCCTACGTAGCGATATAAATTCTACAATCTCAAGAAATATATTTTATTAAGAATATACATTTATTTTTTTCAACATTAACTATTCTCTTTCTGTAAGACCAGAAAAACAAATTGCTTGTGAAGAATACATCTTTGTGCTTTACTTTGCTTACCAGGAAAATGACCATAATTTTCCGCATCATTTTCTGGCAATGACACATTATTTATGACTTAATAAATAAGGCACTTGTATATTTTGCTTGAAATAAACTTTAATCAAAGGTAGACGTATTAATTTCCGCTAAACTTTGCTGATGATTTTCCTCATTAAGCTGAGACTAAACCCAAACCAGACTATAAAACAAACCAGACTATTTCCCCCACACACCGCGGGGAACACATCAGCCTAATTCCCAGTCTCAGCCCGCTTTTTAATGTTCCTTTTTGGGCGCTAAATGCTCCTGTCTAGGTAAATACGCTACGGTACGTTTTTGCCATTCCAGCTCGCAGTTTCCATTTCCCATTTCCCGGGACTCCCGGACACCCGGACTCCCGGACTCCCCTTCGAGCGCAAAACGCAGAACGTGATGCGCATTTTTCGCACTGCGGCGGCTGTGTGGGTCTGTGTGGCGTCCCCGTGGGTCCCTAGGTTTGGCTTTGGCATTCGGGATTCCAGGGGGTTCCCGGCGCTTCCTGGGGCTTCCTGGGGGGCTACAGTTTCTGCCGTAGTTTTGCTCGCCCAGGGAGTGAGATGTACTGCCACAAAAGTTACGCTTAAGTTTATGGCAAACGACTCCCGAAGAGAAAACTTTACCCCGGGGGGAGCAGAGCCGAGGAGCTCCTCTTAAAGCCATGTCGAACGAAATGCAGATGTCATTCGGGGGAATTCATTTGAATTAAGCTCCAAGGTGTTGGCGCTCTTGTAGGTGAACTTACAAAAGGTGCAACGTTTAGGGGAAGCCCCCCCACAAGGAATGGTGTATTGAGTTGCGAATGAATACGTGGAAATTGGAGCCACGGGAATTATTTGAAAGCTGAGGGATTCGTGTGTATTTTCATATTTGTAAGAGAATTTGTTGAACATTTTGTTACGGATATTTGGTGGAACTTTTAAAATAAAATAAACAGGAGGAATATCTATATAGTTGCAAGTTTTAGGTGAATATTTACTATACTATTAAAAATGCTGTCAGAGTCTCTCTTATATTTTATTTATTTATTTAAATAACTACACTTATATTGCCGTGCATGAATCGATGCGATGCTTTTCATTTTCTAGTTTATTTTTTATTCAATTTTCGTATAAAAACAAACTAAAAATGCAAAGTGATATTTACCAATTTTATTGCCATTCAATATTGCTACTTTGTGGCTGCCGGCCAATAAATATTTTTGGCCAACAGTGGCTTACAACACTCTGCTGTCAATTGCCCAACAAACCAAACCTAACTTTATCAGGCATTCCTTTTATCTTTTAATTGCATTTCCATCACTCAACAAATTGTTTTCCTTCAAAGACACAAGCAAAACACAAAACGAGCGGAAACAATATTGGCAATATACATACATATTTTCTTAGCCTTTTAAAGACACTTCTTCTAGTGAATAAAAAAAGGAAATTTAACGAGTCCAGTCGTAAAATAAAATCAGCATAAAATGTGGCAGAAAACTATTTCCACTAGGGCATAAAACAAAGAGCGAATGCTGCTGAGCAGGAAGCAGCCGCAGAAACATAAAAATCACATTTATTTTTGACACAGTTAACCATTCAAGCATTAAAAAAGTTTTGAAAGCCATGCCCCATATACATATATATTCATGGGAATATTCTATCGAAACCATTATCTGCGGTAGTTATGTAAAATTGATTTCCAACATTTGCTTTTGCAGAATCAACTTGCACTACGGAGCAATTCCGCTGTGGCAACGGAAAGTGCATTCCGCAAAGATGGGTCTGCGATCGGGAGGCGGACTGTGCCGATGCAAGCGACGAGTCTCCATCCCGCTGCCGTAAGTATTGGCCATTACTTTTGATATTACCAGTAGATATCGGTTTAAAATGCAATTGAGGACGGTTATTGAAACAGTTGGCCAAGCACTTATGATGGAATTAAATGTAAACCAACCTCAGAGTTGGCACTGTAAGGCCTTTTAAGTGTTTTATCGATTTATAAGAAATATATAAAAAAATTATAATATAATATATAACTAGAAACAAATTAAATTTGGTTTTTAAAGTTCTATGTTTCTTTTATCCAGTTTATATTAAAATGACTCCTTGAAATTTACCCCTAAAATTTCCATTAAACCGATGTCTACTTTGAGGGTTTTACCTAGGCATGGCAGAAAATATCGATACTGTATATTGTATCAAAATTTGAAATGAATATCGATAATTTATATTTAAATGCTGCGATATATGTTTAAAAAATCGATATTTTGAGACAAATTAAATTGGTTGTCCGATATTTTTTGATTATATATATATTCTAACCTTAAATGCGGTATTTTACAATATCTAAAATTTCAATAAATTTCGATATATCGGACTTTTCCTTTCGATATAAATCCCTATCTTACCTTAACTTATACTTTTATTTGATTTTTATAATTCACCTACATACATACATATATAAACAGGGGGTCGTTGCTCTCCCATCATGTTTATGTGTAAAAATAATGAGCAGTGTGTGCACCGGGAGTTTGTCTGCGATGGCGACGAGGACTGTCGCGACAAGTCCGACGAATCTGAATGCGGCAGTAAGCACAAGAATGAATTATTCTTCCTCACATTTGCATACTAACTGGAGGATTTGCCCCATCACTAAAACGACAAAAAGAAAAGTCACTTAATCGAAATTTAAATGCATGCCCCCATGGAAGAAATCTGACCCTCTGCTCTCTGCTCTGCCATGAAACTTGGGAGATGTGCCCGGATTTTATGACTTGGGGACTGACCAGGCCATAAATTAACGTCACTCCTTGCGGACAATATCGCGACGTGACCATCGGCGGAACTAATTTGTATTTATGCATTAGGCTGGCTCCTGAGTCCCGAGCTCCCTTCCTTTTGGGCGTAGTTTCCGCTTTTCACTTTATTCTGAAAGCATTTTTTTCGCACAGTAACTTGTTTAGCGGTTTATTGTCTGTGACACATTTCCCCCCAAACTATATAGTATATATACTTATGTATATATATGTATGAAGTGAGTGGCGAACGAGGAAAGTAAAAAAATGTTTTTATGCTGGAAGGACTTTCAGCGAGATGTAATTGAAAAAATGATGCGATTTTTATGATGTTATCCTTGATGAAAATAAAAACCCGGTAATCAAACAGCGAACGCAGCGCCAAATTGAGCCTGTGGTTTATATGGTGGAACTCATGGCCCAGTGCTTGGCTAAGGGGATTACAAGAGCTACAGATGTGTTCAGAAAAGTAGTGATAATTTCTAATGCCAAAATGCAAAAATTAATAAGGATTAAAGCAGGCTAGAAATGTTAAATTTTTATTAAAAAGAATATTAAATAACAAATAGTTAATGAAATTAAATTTTCAATTATGTGATATTATCCGTTTTTACTTCTATTAGTTTTCAACTTACATCACTTTTACTTAAAAATAATACCTTCATCCATCACAATTATTTTGAACACAACTGTAAGCCCATAAAGTTACTTCTCTGTATATATGTGCGTCCTTTTATGACTTTTATGTGCTTTAAAATTGTCATCAAACCTTGTTGACATTTCTGCTTTCGCCCAGTTACCCCGGTGAATCTTAATTTCAAGCGAATTTTCGTGTAAAAAGCACAGCTTGCTTCTTTAAAAATGGCGACTTTCAGTTATCAGTTTCATGTTTGAACTCCGCCCCGTTGCTTAATTCCATTTAACACTCCACTCGGACTCTTCATAACTTTGTTTACCATTCTGGGGGAAAACTTGGTCGAACAATAAACTCGGAAAGAGGACACAAACTGCAGAGTAAACAAAACGCAAACGCAAACTGCCCCACAAAGGCATTAAGCTTCATTGGCTTTCAAGTGGCGGGGCTGGTCGAGGGTAGTTGCAGTTATCTAGGACCTTGTCTTGTACATGGTCTAAAAAGCATTTTAAATAAAATTAAAATCAAATTGCAAGTATATACGCTCTGGCGTCAGATAACAAGAAAATGCCATTGAATACAATGTGTATGCAAGGGTAAGGGAAGGAGTGCAAGGACCATCGGTGGTCCATTGACTGTGACCCCACAACAGCAAATTGATTCTGTCATGGCTTACAAAAGCCGGAGCTGAAGCTGGAGCTGTGTCCCCATGGCCACACGGGAATGAGACGTCGTCGTCCATTCAGCCAAGTAGTTACCTCAAAAAGGATAAAACTGGAGAGTACTATAAGGACATTCATACATGTGGTGGAAAAGGACCCCGGTGAATGCGCCACAGCATTGGGAAATTTAATGAAGCCATAAATTATGGCTGGAAAAACGATATTGGATAATTGAAAAAATATCTGCTGAGCGTAATAATAATATATTTTTTCACAGAATATAAAAATTGAAAAACTAGTTATAAAGGAAATTTATTTAAGGAGATAAAGAAACCTATTGAAATTTTTATTGAAATTTAATGGAATATTTAGAAATAAATTGAATGAATATAAAAATATTAAAGCAAAGACAAATATATGTGCAAAAAAACGTTATATTTTTATGATGACTAAAGAATTTGCCACAGAAATATGATTCAAAGCGGAAATATGAAAATATTTTATCTAAAAACTGAGAAATATTCACAAAAGAATACTGATAAGTACGGAATTCTGGGAATAATATAAAAATTATAAAGAAATATCCCATATCACATAAAGAAATAAGAATACTCAGAAAAGGTTGACTAAACTTTAAAAGGAAATTCAAATCAATTTAAAATCAAAAATTTAACAAAGAGGCACAAGCAAATTATTGAGGACTCCCTGGAATGCTTTAGCTGGCATCCGCGGGTCGCCATTCTAGGAAATATTTCGGCTGGCGAACGACAACGAATATATTCGGGAAGCTGGTCACAGTAAATTCCAATTAAGGGCATATCACGCATACGACGGTTGCTAAGCAACCGCGCAAAAATTGCGAATACCACCGGAGCAAAATAATAATAAATTAATTTATTTGCAACCATGTCAGAAATTTCCGCCGTACGCCATGCGCGCGTGTAAACGGTAAACAAATAGACAAAATGTGAGGATCCTGCTGCTGCTCCTGCGGAAAATCCGAAGCAAAAGGTAGACAAAACGCCAAAAAGCATATTCAAATACTCGTACATGTGTGTGTCTTTCGGCCATAGGATTTTATTGCTCGCACGCACACAAGTAGCAGGAACAGCGGGATGTATGTACATAATCATATCAGGGAAAATCACACAAAGGACCTCCATTTCACACAAACACACACGCATATCGCAAGAGAAAAGAATGCGAAAGAAAGCTTGAAAGGGAGGCCCGAAGAACTGGCATACTAATACGCATTAAGGGTTAAACACAAGCGTTTTAATGCGAGTGTGCGCGTGTGTGTGGGTGGCTGGGAGTGTTGTCAGCTTTGTTTAATGTCCGCTCCTCTCTGGAATGAAGGTTCCTGCCCCCCGTTAAGGGGTACCGTGTGTGTGTGTGTGTGCGATAATTGCTTTAATGCATACGCATGTGTGCGTTTTAACTTTATGGAGTGTTGGCTGATAATGTCTTAATTACTGCCTAGATAAAATGCCAACTGTTTAGCCCCCGAATGTGTGTGTGTGTGTGCTGGCATGACAACTATGTTTATTACTTCCAGAGTAGTTCCTGCACCGCCCCGACCCGCCCCCCTTTGGCAGCTGCTTATAAACTTAATTACAGGACAACACTCGGTTGCCTACTTTAAGGCGTCGCCCTTTGGTGCTTCAATGTCTTTGGAGATGCCAAATCGCATTAGCTGAGTAGTTAGAGGGTTATTTTTGGTGTCCTTATCTTACAGGCTTGTGGAAATAAAACTGTAAAGGAGATAAATAAATTTAAATTATATTTACAGGAACTTCAATCAGAGGTTCTTTAAATAATTTCTAAATTTCGGCTTGCCGATATTATCTTGTTCCTGTGATTTTCTTTCATTTCAAAAAACACTTGTGAACCAAATATCCTCCCGTTTTATTTTTTTAGGCAGCCAGACATGTTCGCCTGAGCAGTTCGCCTGCAAGTCGGGCGAGGGCGAGTGCATTCCCCTGGCCTGGATGTGCGATCAGAACAAAGATTGTCGCGACGGAAGCGATGAGGCCCAGTGCAGTAAGCCAAAACCAAATCAATGCTAGCTTTCTATCTGTTCTGTACTTATTCCTCTGCGCTTGGTGTTGGCTGCTTTAACCTGCTCTATATATATACTGTTACTATCCCACTTTACTTTCTCCTCTTCTTACCCAGCTCTTGAGTATATACACACACATATTTCTGTGGAAATTGTGTAATGCCATGCTTAAACTCGCATGCAATAAAGCACAAATATTTACACAAACACAAGCACACGCGAACACAAACACACACATAGGATAAGCTTTAGTTTGCTGTGTTTACGCTGTTGTTTTACTTTTTGTTGTTGTCACTTTCACATATTTCTCCGCCCTGCTTATATTTATCCTTTGTTTGTTGGCTGGCAATTTTTTGTAATGGTGTTGGTTCTCTTCCAAGTTCACTCCACTGGCCTTGTTTGTTGTAGTTCCCATACCAAAAATCATACCAAATGACATACCATCAAGTTCACTCACTAATCAGCTAACGAATCCTCCCCGCAAAACCCCTTTGGAGAATCCTGGCTAATCGTTTGACTGACCTCCTCCGTGCAGATAGAACGTGTCGCTCGGATGAGTTCACCTGCGGCAATGGACGTTGCATCCAGAACCGCTTCAAGTGTGACGAGGACGACGACTGCGGCGACGGAACGGATGAGAAGGGCTGCGACAGTGGGCACACGTGTGCCGAGGATGCCTTTACCTGTGCCAGCGGCACCTGCATCCCCAAACAGTGGCTATGCGATGGGGATAAAGACTGCATGGATGGCAGCGATGAGACGGTGAGTACAGTTCAGTTTCTATTATTTTATATACAATGCTTTTCTATAAGTAATTCTAAATTAAGTTTAATATATTCACCATATTTCGCTGCCCTGTCAATCTTTGGCTCCCTTACCTTTTAAAACTTGCAATGAAAATTGATATGAGCACATTATCAAACCCTATACAAACACTGAAACACACACACATTCGCTCGCATATAAATATGTATTTATATGAAGCTAGCTAGGAAAGCATAAATTATGCAGGACGCGAGCATTATTCAAAACTGGCAACGACGACGACGAGGACCATGTCGGCAACTGTTTCCCATAAACATTTATATGTATGACGCATGGCTTTTGTTGTCAGTGGGGGGGTAGGATGGAGCCCGAAATTGCATGGCACCGGAATAACAATAAAAGTAGAGGAACTATAGAAAGCTATACGAATATGTAGCTTAATGTTTGCTCTTTAAATTTTTTATATATTGTAAAGATAAATATACAAATATTTAAATATTTAAAGGATTTTATTATATGATTTTACTATAATAAGAAACCCTTTTTTGTTTAGTGAAATCTCGAAAAGGGGTTTTTAGTTTATTTACCCAATATTTATTTATTTATTGTATTAATCCTTTATATATATTTAAATGTATTAAATATATATATAAATTGTATATAGTATTATTTGTCACAAGTAGCCTTCAAAACAAAGAGTATAAAGTGTGCAAAATTCTCCTGGAAATATGCAGCACAAAAAATTGCAGGCTATGGCCAGAGGGAACAATATACTCGTGTGTGCGTGTGTGCCCGTGTATATGGGTGTGTTTGTGAACCGGGCTTAACTGCCTGAATATTTGGTTGGCACTTAACAAGAAAAGCAAACTGTTGTAGCAGCAGTAAACTTAACTTTCTTTATCCTTGCCTCGCGCAGAGATTCATCTTGGCTGGGGATTTATAAATATAAGATAAATCTTGGAAGAAAATTCAGCTACATTTCATACTTAAATCATTTAAGATATTAAACATCTCTATATTTTCAAAAGATATAAATTATTTATACTCTCTCTACCTTTCTTAGCAAAACTGCACTCGCCCGGCGATAAACTTCTGCCAGGCCTCCGAGTTCCAGTGCCGGGATCACATCACCTGCCTCCACAGGACCTGGGTGTGCGATGGCGAGGCCGACTGTCCCGATGGCGAGGATGAGTCCCAGGAGCACTGTGCGAGCGTGACCTGCCGGCCAGATCAGTTCCAGTGCGACGATCGCAGCTGCATTGCTGGCCATCTGACCTGCAATGGGGACCGTGACTGCCCCGATGGCAGCGATGAAAAGAAATGCAACCTAAGTGCACCACCAAGGACATGCAATGCCACCAGCGAATTCGATTGCGGTGGTGGTCAGTGCATCCCCAATTCCAAGGTCTGTGACCGGAGGAAGGACTGCCCCAACGGCGAGGATGAACCCGCCGGCAAGTGCGGCATCAACGAGTGTGCCTCCAAGAATGGTGGCTGCATGCATCAGTGCGTAAACCTGGCGGTGGGTTATCGGTGCGAGTGCCAGGAAGGCTATAAGCTGGCAGCGGACAAGCACAGCTGCGTGGACATCGACGAGTGTGAGACCCATGGTATCTGCTCACAGGTGTGCGTCAATGAGATCGGAGCCTTCAAGTGCGAGTGCGAGGCGGGATACATGCGAGTCCTGAAGAACCACACCCGGTGTAAGGCCAGCGAGGGTCATGCCTCTCTGCTATTGGCCCGGCGTCATGACATTCGTAAGATAGCCCTCGAACGTCCTGAAATGACCTCGATTGTGAATAGTACCAAGGCAGCTACAGCTTTGGATTTCGTATTCCGCACGGGGATGATCTTCTGGAGCGACATTGCCACGCAAAGCATCTACAAGGCGCCCATTGACGAGGGCAGCGAGAAGACCGTGGTGCTCAAGCAATCTTCGGTTACCTCGGATGGTTTGGCGGTGGATTGGATTTACAACCATGTCTACTACACGGACACCCACAAGTGCACCATTGAACTGACCAATTTCGAGGGCAACATGGGCAAGGTTCTTATTCAGGACGCTTTGGACATCCCGCGTTCCATCGCCCTGGATCCCATTGACGGCTGGATGTACTGGTCCGACTGGGGTGCATCGCCGCGCATCGAGAGAGCGGGCATGGATGGCTCCCACCGCACCACCATCATTAGCTACGATGTCAAGTGGCCCAATGGCATCACTCTGGATCTGGTTAAGAAGCGCCTGTACTGGGTGGATGGCAAGCTGAACACCATCTCGTCATCCAACTACGATGGCTCTGAGCGCCGTCAGGTGCTGTATTCCGGCGAGTACCTGCGGCATCCCTTTTCCATCACCACCTTCGAAGACTACGTTTACTGGACCGACTGGGACAAGCAGGCCGTCTTCAAGGCGAACAAGTTCACGGGAGAGGATGTGGAGGCCGTGACCGCGGGGCATATGGTAAGGATATATGTTTGAGAAATTATTACCTAGGCTTACATGTCGTATGTGTAATATATATACGTAGCAGACATGACAAGGACTCTCACTAATTGCTATCCCATTTTCCTGCAGCTCGAACATCCCATGGTGGTCCACGTTTACCATCCGTACCGCCAGCCCGATGGCGTTAACCACTGCCAATCGGTCAATGGCCACTGCTCTCACCTCTGCCTGCCAGCGCCCAGGATTAACGAGCGGAGTCCACGCATATCCTGCGCCTGTCCCACGGGCCTGAAGCTGATGCCCGACGGCCTCATGTGTGTCGAGGATCGTAAGTAGTTTTGCCTCTTTTTCGTTTAACGTGGGGTTTTCTTAATTGCATTGATGCACCACACTGAGCGATTGTCCTCGCTTGCCTCGATGGCTGCTGTGTCCTGCGGTCAGTCGGACAGGCCAGGTCGACCCAGGACGGGGCAGGACGCTTTCCTGGTGCGGTTGCGGCCTATTAAGTGGCCCGCACTGCAGTGCAAATTTCATTGAATCGAATGTATCCGCCATTTCCGATTTCATTATATCTATGAAATTAACTTTTGTTGTAGCGCGTGTCCCGAAAGCGAGGTATAACAGCACAGCGGTGCCCAGGACGACAAACAAGTCGTTCACCTCAACCACCACAAGACTACCTCAAGATGCGCACAGTGAAGCGCCGGGTATGCAAAACGTTTTTATATAAAGTCAATGGTGGTGGTCTTTGAATGGTTAAGGGTTTGGTGAGCTAGGAAAATGTGATAGTGAGAATTTCAGGAGTATAAGAAGAGTATATCTTACTTAAATATTATGTATTGCAGTTTTTCAATTTGAAAGATACTTGTGTTTTTATTTTGTTTGCTTTTGAATTTCTCTTACAAAAATATGAATTTGTTTTTTCAAATTTGTAATTCCAAGAAATTTAAAAAAATCACAAATTTTGTTCACCATTTTAATATACTTTTGCTGATTTTAATATTCCAAAAAAAGGTTAATTTTCCTTGTAAATATTGGTATCCACGAAATTCTTTACACTTTCCTTTTTCCGGCTTCCAATCCTGGTGTTGGTTCCATTTAAGTTTTTTGTCTATTTCATTTGTCCACTTTCCTTGTGTGAACATCGTTTTTACCTGCTCATCTTGTTGTTTTTTTTTAATTTTTTTGTCACAATTTCTCAAGCAAGATGTATGCACACATTCAGCCATAGTCATCATCATAAATCAACATCAATGATATCGACGTAATCACTCAAAATGAACACACACACACACATACACAAAAAGTTTGCAAAATGCGAACGAGCTGAGCGTAAAACATAAATATCGGGTCTCGCGCACACATGCACAGACATTGTAAAAACCGCAAGAGAGAGGAGCCATTGGTGACATGTTTAATGGCAGCACCGCCATCCCAGAGATTCCCTTGGCTTCCTCCTCCTGTTCAGCTTAAACGGGGCTCCATATCCAGCACACTTACCCGCACCCGGCGAATTTCTCCTTGCAATTTGCAAACTGCTCTGACAGAATGACATGGATGCGAGGATGCGAATGAGGATGACGATGATGATGGTCATGGGGATGGGGATGGGAGTTCGGTTGGAAGCGGGAATGATGAACGGCTGACAACCGCAGAGGCAGACGCAGACGAAGGGCAGCCAGCAGTTGAACCGTCTGACATATCAGCGACAGACTGTAGGAGAGTCGTCAACAAATCGCCATGAAATTAAATTATACATAAGCACCAACACCAACAGCACCGATAGTAGCACCAACACTATACCAATGCTACACCAACACATGGGGTGACATGGAGCATGGCAAATAGTTTAACCAGAAATTCGTCATCGCCATCATCGCTATCATCATCCTCCAGCAAATTGGCACTGTCAACACCTCAAACTGTCGACATTCGGTCTGCCGGCTTTGGAGCAAAATAAATTACCCCCATCTAGCCGGCGTGGTTTATCCCAAAAAATATGCAATACCACAAAACCATTTCTCCCATTTTTCCCCATTTTCTGCCATTTTCCAATGTGTGTATTTGTGTGTGTCCCGTATCGTTGTTGCTATTGATTTAAATTAGAACTTCCTGTGTGCGTGGCCTGTACGCCTCTTCTAAATGCCGTATCATTATTTTTAATAAACACAAATTTAGCCGCCTCCCGGCAGACAGACAGACATACTTTGATCAATCGAAATGCCAAATTGAACGGTCCTCCATTATTGAAAACGAGAATGAAAAGCGGCAAAAGATATTTCGCGTTGGCAACCGAATTGGAGCTGGAATAAATAAAGCTAATAAAGGGTATATGGTCTGGTTCCTTGGGCAGCAGGAAGACATTTGAATATTTTTTTAACAAGAAATAAATCTTGTCTTTGATGGCAGAGTCCTATAAATTTTAACAAAATTGTATTGTAATTATAAGACAGACAAAGTTTAGTTAAGTGCCCCCAAAGCCAAATTGGAATAACAATTAAACCAGCCTTGGTGTGGCTTCGCAATTGTGAGATATAAAAACCCTCAACTTTATGAGATTTTATTTTAAAATCCCTGCCATTTTTTGTCCTTATCCTCTCCTATTTGCTCCTTCGGCTTAGAACTGAATGCTTAAATACACGTTGTCATGCCTACGATGGAATAAAATCAAGTTCGCTGCGAAAGCTTACTAAGAAGCCCGTACAATTGTGCCTAATTACGTCAGTTTAAAGAAGTCATAGTGGCGGAATCGAGGGTTTGAAGGTCGCTTGGCAGAGGGTGTACTTTGCGTGGAAAAAGCTAATCAGCTCAGGGACTCACGGTCGGACTTGAACTGCAACACATTTGTGGCAGAATAATGACGACAACGACGAGGGCTTAAGCCATGGCAAAGGAGAACGAGCAAGAAAAGTTTGCAGAAGCTGAGCCAAGTAAATAACTATAAACTAGTTAAGGACTATTTCAATTAGATGGCCAAGCCCTGCCAATGATGATGACGACGACGACGACGGCCGGCATAACTGCAATTTCAATTAGCGGTTTGCGCTACTTTTTCCATGACCAGCTTTGGCCACTTCAAATTGCTTAATTAAGCGCAGGCAAAGTTTCGCAAATACCCCTGAGAGAGGGGCAGAGACACTCACCGAAACACAAGGCGGGGAAATGGCAGTTGGACAGACCGAGACCTCAATAACCATAAACTTTGAGCCGTCGAAGTAACGACTGCGTTTTTAATAGCCAACCACATAAAATGAAGCTCAGGGCGGTGGAGGGAAATGCGGGGAAAATGGCGGGAAAATACAGAGAAAAACTGGGTGAACAGCTGCTGTTTCTACTCTAGCTCCTTGCAGCATTTTATGACTTTCATTTGCCTGCAGTTCGGTCAGTCCGGGGCCATTGTTACTGTCCGCCTCTAACTTTACTGCATATTGCCTTCGATGTGAAGACAGAGCAGGAACGGGCGAGCCAGACATGGCAGCAAAGCCGCCATTTTGTTTATTTGCATGCCACACCATTTTTGACTTGCTCTCTCTTCTTATTTTTTGTTGCATAAAAGTTTTAAACTTTTTTTTTTTTTGCGGTTTATCTAATCTGTTTACATCCCCTCCTCATGCTCTCCATGGCAAAATGAACCCAAAACAGGTGACGGAACATATTTTATGCGTTTTTATTTCATTTCGGGAAGGAAAATTGTGGCACGGCAGCCATTTTGTCGTTCTTTTTATGGCACTTCCGTTTGGCCGGGAATCGAGAGGAGTGGCAGAGCCGAAAGCACCTGCTATGCGTTATCCCGAGTTGGAGTTTCCAAATAAATATGAAAACACATGTGCTGGATTATACAAATGGGCGATGAGGCATAACTCTGCAGTATGTGTGCGTGAGTGAAGCACGGAAATTGCATTTTGTATAGATTAGGAGGGCGCAATAATATATGACATTTATAGGCAAGCATAAAACTTGCCAGAAGAGCAGGAGTGGTATCTAAGTGTACCGAAGAGCAAGCATAAAACTTGCCAGAAGAGCAGGAGTAGTATCTAAGTGTACCGAAGAGAAAATGGAAATGTTGGGAAGCAGTTTTTGTGGAAAAATAAATGCAATTTCCCCAACATTAAGCCGTAAAATAAAAATTTATAAAATAGTAAAATATATATATTTTTCTCTCTGAAAAATACTTAAGTTTTACTGAGGTGAAAGGATGTTTATAATATTCTTTCTACTCTACCCAAATCCAAAGCCAATAAAATAATTATTAAGCTGCCAGAAAAAAAAAAGTTTCAAAATATAAAAAACAGCATCTGGCTTATCCTGGCCTATCATCTCCCTTAAAAAGAGCAAAAAATCATAAACAAGGGCTAAATCGGGCAATTAATATGCCACAGCAACGTGCAACTTTTCAGCGACTTGCCCTGCCATTTGACTGTCTGTTAATGCTGCTTAAATAAATTTGCAGCATCTTAACGCGCCTACGTCGAGGCATTTCGAGGAATCGATGCCGACCAGCTGTTGCCTGCTATCAACTTTTAATGATAATTCCCTGCCACATGCTCGTCCCACTCCCCCTTCTGGTCGGCCGTAGAGCAAAAATTAATAACAACAATAAAAGGCGGGGAAATTTTTGGTGGAAAGAGGAGGATTTCGAAAGTGGGAAAAACTTGAGGGCGCGCGTTAAATGCTCGGCTTCATATCCTTTGCCGGGCGAACGCGCGCTCTCCTCCTGCTTCAGGTCTTAACTTTGTGCGTTTTTTCTGCTGTTGAACAAATTCTAAACGGAAAAATATGAAAACGAATTATGATGACAGCGGAAAAATCCTACAACTTCCTGCCACGACAACAGCAAAGGGCAACGCCAAATAAAAGCGCACCGAGTCAGTGACAGTAAAGCCAAGGGAAACCCAAAAGCGGAAACATTCGCCACGGGATGTAGTCATCGCTGGGGACTCGCTCTTCCTTTTTTTTCTGCTTTTTGCCCGTCGAAAGACAACATTTTAATTATATTTTGTCATAGGAATTATGAAATTACAGGACTTGGGGGGAAGTGAAGATGAAAATCTGTATTTTGGGGGAAAGTTTATTTTTGTAATTGATTTTTTTTATAGAAAGGCAAGGTTTTAAGGAGATTAATAGAAGGCTGAGCTATAGTTTTGGGAATTTTAAAGGAATTATTCTGTTTTTTGAAAAGGAAGTATTACGCTATCGTATTAATATCCTTTAAATTAACTTTATGTCTTAACAACTAACTGGATTCTGGGACTTACTTACTTCATTTCTTATCAAAAACACATCTCTCCTAATATTTGTCTAGTTGTTATTTATTATTATATATTTTTACTAAATATAAAAATATTTCTTTTACTTATTTTTGCAAATAGTTGGAGGAAAAGCCGGCAGCAATGGCACCCACACAACCAATAAGACCAATAACTCTGCCCAGAACTCAGAGCAGGACTATGGCCAAATAGCCATGATTGTGATAGCATCTCTAACGTCCGCCGCTCTTGTGGTTTGCGTAAGTATTCATTGAATTCATTGTTGAATGCCATTTCAAATTTAATTAAAATATATATTTATTTGATTATGCAGATTCTTGTGGTCACGTACAGACGGTGCACGCGGGCGGTCAACTCGATGAACTTTGAGAATCCGGTGTATCACAAGACCACGGAGGATCACTTCAGTCTGCAGAAGAACGGGACGCCGCAGATGTATGCCACTGCCATGGAGGAGGAGGTAAGCGGGTCAGCCCCTCCGATGGCTACGAATCCGAATGATTTTAGCTACGTGAGGTTCTAGGCGCTAGCTGCTAAGTTAATGTTGTATATAGATGGCCAAGTGTATGCGTATCATAGCTGTATCCTAGGCTAAGTTAAGTTGATCCAAATAGCTGATAGATCAGATTTAAGCGAGTCCTAAAAACATTGTTGTGACAGAGTCTCGTCCCTCGAGACTGGTGACTCTTATATATATTTAATCGAAATTCGTTTATCCAACTATTTCATTTGAATTTTAAATGCCGCGAGCGAAACGAAACGAAACCACGGTCCCAATTTAGTCATTAAAACCGGTAAGTTGTGGTCGCAGAACAAATATTAGAGCATTATTATTAGCATATTATATTACATCGGTGTGTTGTTGGGCTCCTCCTGTGTACAATTTAATTATTATTTTATTATTTTATTGCTTTATGATTTAATTTAGCATTGAGTTAAGCATTCAGTGTGCTCTTTGAGTTCACAATCGACAGCTGCCCGTGGGTATCGCTAATTGCAGAGCTGCAAATGCAATCAAAACATGCATATCAATTGGCCAATTAACTAAAAGGCCAATTAAATGGCGTCAGTGGAGCGTTAAAATGTCCCACATTCCGCCCAGCTGCCTCACTAAGCCATAAAGTGTCTCAGAGAATGGCAGAATATATGGCATTTTAGTGAAACATTTCAATTAAATTACGTTTCTCTTTTTTACCTTGCCTCTGCGGCAGCTGCCTTGTTGTCAGTTTTAATTAAAGCGGTTGGTTGATTAATAAACAAAAAAATATGACAACCAAGAATGGATAATTATAATAATAATAATTATGCGAAATTAAACAAAGTGGCATTCAGAGAGATTTTCTGTTTCGGTTGCCACAGAGCAACCAATAAATAACAACATCATTTGCATATAAGCAAGCGAACTCGTTGCGCCCCAAATCCGTGCCGCAGGCTTAGCGGTTGGTCGTTTTCATTACGGTTTATAATTAAATATCCTCGTTTAGAAAATTGCTAACCAAATCTCTTTTTTATTGGTATTTTGCGGCTTATTTTCTATTTGATTATTTAACATACCGAAAATTACCTTTGCTCTGAACTATTATTGTTTTTTGGGTAGTTGGATTATCTTTACTCTTTAAATATTTAATTTTGACTTTAAAATTACTTTATTAAAATTATTTCTATGGCAGACTTCTGCATTTTAATAACTTATCTCTGTAATTTTTTAGTTCTATATTATTTTTTTTTTATTTTATTTATTATCATTATTTACTCGACCTAAACTAACCCAAATTTATATTCTTCTAACCCCCTGTAGCATAGTAAACCCCTCGTTGAGTCGGGCACCGAGTGTGTGTAATGTCCTGCCAAAGGTCCTCCCAAATGCATATCCAACACCGGGTAGACACCGAAGAAGAACTACTGAGCATCTCCTACTAGTAATTCCTTTAGACCAAGGCACCAAAATAAAAAACAAGAAAAACTCAACTAAAAATGAAAGTCTAAGCAACAAATACTTTCATTTAGCAGTAAGAAATGAAGAATGCCAAAAACAAAATAGAAAAGACAAGAACGAAAACAGCATAGGGGAAAAGTAAAGAAAATACTCAACAAATTCAATTTGTTGCCTAGTTTAAAATTTAATTTAAATGTAACAATACTAAACACACATACACACACATATATATATATGAACACTTACACGAATACGCATACACACACACAGTCACACGCCCATAAACTAATAACAACGCAAAACTTTTCTAGGCGCAACGTTTTAACATCAACTAGCGTCGAAAGACACACGCACACCAGTCACATACCTCACCCATACTCACGCCCACACCACCCACAGACACACACACCCACACACAAGCCCAGAAGAACTCAGAGAAGGAACGAAGGAGCCAGGACACGGAGCAAGGAGTGCAACTTTCCTTTCACGTCCATGAAATCAATTGTAAAAAGTTAAGACATTTCGTTGAAGTTTTGCTACAGAAAGAGACATTTTGTGAAATCAAAAAAAGAGAATGGAAAAAAATATATTAGCTAAACGGAAACTGTTTATAGGCCTAACTATTATTGAGACTAGTAATTAAACCCGTTTTGTTATGGAACAAATAATAAAATCAGTTATTATCTTGAACGGAACGATTTAAGTAACATTTTTAGCACCAATTTGGATTAATTTTTAGCCAAATATTTGAACAGAAACATCTTTGTAAATACGTAGAAAATAAAACTAAAAAACAAAACTTAAACATTTAGAACAAATTTACAAAAAGTCTACAAAATATAAAAACAGTTTTAAAGTATTTGAAAATGTATCTAATTAACACATATTTGCTCCGTTTTTTCGTTCTTGGGTATTCAAAAAAAAACAATTTGCTGTGATCAGTTTAAAAGCATTAAATCATTTAATTTGTAGTAACTTTAATATTCTTCTCATTTATTTAGTGTATAAACAAGCTTTCAAATATTTTTATTTATTTACAAAAAACATAATGTAATGTGTATTGGCAAAAAACAATTTGGTTCCTGTAAAATGTATTTGGATTTAGGCATGCCTAAATGCTTTCTAAAAAAAAACAAAACGAAACATTAGCTAAATATATTTGGTATGTGTGAAAAGTTTATTAAAAGCAAATTATAATATTAAAACAATTAATAATGAATATTGTAAATTAAAGTTCATTCAAAAAGAAAAATAAATTGGAATTGTAAAACATGGAAAGAAATGTGTCTTAAGAATTTGGTTTGGTAAACTTATTTTTTAAGCAGCATCTCAATTAATTTTCATCAATCAATTTCATCTCCACCATCAGGTTATCAATCAATGGCCTATGTTGAGCTCATCTCAAATATCACTGCAATGATAATCTATTCACACACCCGACCCCATACAAGGCAACACCGAGAAGCTAATCGGGTTTACACATTGAGTCTGATTGCCTGAACTTAATAGCCCCAACGCCAGCACAATTTTGACTTTTGTTGGCTGGCACAACACACAGAGAGAGCGAGATGTATAGACACGCAGCCATGAATTATTAAATGCTAATGGACAACTACGCCAATTATTTCACATGAGAGGGCATCAATACGTAATGAGCTTCGTCCGGTGGTCCATCGATGAACATTTCGGGCAAAGTTTGAGGCACCTAGTGAACAGATTGAACAGTCACTAATGGCCACACACATACACTCATACACAGTCAGACCAGTATGTGGGGGGCTTTGGGCGGATAACAGTTAAATCGCCTGTCTAAGCATCGCCCAGGTTTTAATTTCGTCCCAATTCCGGAATCCCAGATCCGGATATTGAGCCCACGCATTTAACGGCAACTCCAACTTTTGTTCGGACCTAATTTATGGCTGCGAATTATCAGCCAACGCAGCGATTTTCGGCGAATAAATAAGATTTTTATGCCTTTCGGTGGTGTCTTTAATGTTATAATTTATGTAGCGCGCGCCTGGAGGCAGGCAACATTATTTTTGTTTATTGCTTGCAGGACAGCTGGCTGTCAGCGACATATCCTGGCAGCTTGGCTTGGCGTATTGTAAGCGAATTTCGACAGCCGTAGTAGGCATCGATTTGAATCGATTATCCGAGGCGACACACGTTTGCCATGAAAATAAAATTGTAAATAAAAGGCGACGGTAACGGTGACGGCAACACATTTGACACACGGCACCGATAACTTTTTCAATTTAGATATGATCCCGAAAGTATGTGCTGCGGAACTGCTCGGATAATCCCCAAGCCCCAAGTGCCAGGTGCGAGGTGAGGCGAAGCGAGGCGAGTCTGCTCCATTCCATTAGCAATATGCGGCCAAATGGCAAAACACTGTCCCTCACCAGTATCCCGCAGCTCCTCCCTACACGAACTAAGTAAGAGCTACGAGAAAGGGGTGGAAAAGCCCCACCCCACGCTTTTTGCACATAAAGGCGCAGGGAATAAGCGACTGCCTGTGTGTGTATGGAGGATGAAAATCTGCAATTCAGCCGGAACATAGCATACATTTTGTCGTTTTGCCAGCCGCAGGCGGCCACCAAACAAAAACCCCCCCAAACAAAAAGTCGTACTACTACTACACATTGCAAAAAAAAGAAAATTTGCCAGCAAAAGCAAGTCAATTTACATTGATTTTTGGTTTTAAATAGATTTTTAAATATATTGACAGATCTTACTAAGGTAACTTTTGTTAAAGGTTTTTTAACTCTTTTGTTTCAAGTTCATTTTTTCTTCCTGTGCATTACCCAAAAGCCAATGAGACGCAGCAGCTGGGCAAAAGAAATAGAACGAGGAAATGTGGCCAAAATTGTGTGTGGCTCGAAGGGACGAAAAAAGGGTCCTGGTTGGTTTTGGGCGGAATGCATCCGAGCATCAACTCGTTGCGACTCCTGATGCAGGAAACATGGCTGTCACTGGTTTCGCCGACGCCACTGTACTCTGTGTTAGCGATGCGCAGCCAACGATAACTTTGGCTAACAATATCTCTCGCTTTCGGTTTTTTTTTCGCCAGCCTTTTGGGACTTGTGTCTATTGTCAAAGGGAACTTCAAATGGGATTGCATTTCATGACAGTTTAGTGACGTTCGTTGGGGACGTACACTTGAGCAGCAGCAGTCAGGGTTTCATAATATTGAAAGCCATTGTACCCATTTGATAGACGGCTGTCTTTTTAATTGGCTTTAAATTCGGTGTTGGTTTCGGTTGCGCTTGGTTTTCTGAAATGGAAAGGCTATCGGATCCTTTCTGATTAAGTTTTAACTAACATTTTCATTACAAAAAATACCTTCTCATCACTAATATTTCAAAAACCGCTTTAAAAATCCTCTCAAATTGCTTTTCCTTGACGCCCCCAACTTCCATGAATTTGTAATTTGGTTAAAGGGAAACCCAAAAAATTTTCATTTTCATGATCAGCTTAGTTGGCCCTAATGCAACCTTCTCGCTCACTGTTTTTGCCATGAACTGTACCTGTACTGTACTCGCTTAGTGGAGAGTGGGAACTGGGGAACTTTAATTACGAGGCAAGTCCACTGGCCACACCACACACCAGCACACTGAACTAGCCCATTGCTCCTGAAAGGACCTCGCAATGTTTGCACATCCTTGCAGTCGTTGCTGCCGCTGTCGTTGCCGTTGTTGTTATTGTTGGGTTATCCTGGGGCCAATTGCATGGCACATGCACACAAGGTTAGTAGGCAAGTTCACATACCAAATATGCTGTGCGTATGCCATGGAATGTGGAGACGGAGATCCTCAACCCCGCCCACAGCCATTGCCGTCCACTGTTGGCACTGCGTCTTACACGCAGGCGGACGTTGTTGGCTTGTCGGTCGAGTTGTTTGCACCACGTCCTGAATAATGGATACGTTTCGTGCCACATTGAATGCCCAGCAGTGAGTGACATTGCCCGGACCAACGACGTTGGCAACGACCAGGGCTTTTTCGAGGCGGCGCGGTAAGGTTTTTGGAATTGTTGATGTAATTACGCCTGAGAGCCCCACGTTGCCACCTTTTCGGTTGTGGGGGGGAGGGCTAATCAGAGCCAAAGTCGATAAGCATGTGGAGGTTTAAAATGCATCCCGGCAATTTGCCTAATTGCGGTGCAATGCTAATCAAGTGACAAAGTCTCCAACTTTCCCCAAAACTCCCACGAAAATTACAAAATGACACGAAATAAAATAACTTTGCAGACAGAGAGAGTCGTTTGAGGCATGAGTAAAATTCATCAACTTCAAGTCGAAACAAACCGGAATAAAAAACAAAAAAACAACAGACAACAACGGGGGGATGTAAGCCGCTTTTGTTTGCCATGATAAAATGGTTACAAAATGGCGGCAGCTTGTGTGTGCGGGGGCGTGTTCTTGTGTGTGTGTGTGTGGCATACATTCAATCCCCGAGTCCTTTGGCCTTGGCGCAAAACTGTCGTCTGTCTTCTGCCCTGCGTGTGTGGCTTAAATTTCACTTTTTTATGTGTGTGTGTGTGTAAGTGAGTGCTGCTGCGAAAACTTTTGCGATTTCCTTCCCTGACCTTGTCCCGGGTAAAATTACTTTCGCGCAAAGGTTGCCGCTCGCTGCAGGGAACACACACAGAGTCAAGTAAATGATGCAGCAACACAATATTGAAAAGTTCCCCGGGGGTAAAAATCAAGGCCCAAGCAATTGTACATTTTAATTAAGTTTTTTTTTCATATAGGCTGACTTTAGTATTTATTGTTAAAACATTAAAAGTTTACTAATTATATATACAAAATTCAGAATATTCCGAAATTTACAAGGTATTTATTGCAAGACTTTACTTAAACTTGCTTCGTTTTATAGGATATATGTTCTGTAGATTAAAAAAATATATATATTTTGGTAATATGATACTTAAAACAAAAAAGGTCTAGACCTCTCCAAGCACCTTATAGCTTTAAAAAATAATTACATATATAATATATTTATGTTATTGTATACAAAATTCGTTGCTGATTATTTTTCCATAATTTTTATAAAGCGTTCTTGAGGACCTCAACTTAATTTCCAAGCCGGTACATTTAATTTCTGTGCGTCTTTCGGCTTGTTTGCAAATTTTCAACTTGAAACGCCAACGCCAGATGTTGAGGGTCGAGCTGAAAACTGCGAGCGCGGCGGGCAGGATTTCTTTTCGCTTTTTCATTACTTGAAACGAAAGCGAAGGGAAAAGTGAAAAGTTCACATTGCGGTTGGCAGCAGATTGCACTTGGCGGTGTGTGTAAGTGAGTGTGGCCGCCATTTTGGTAACATGTTAACCAGTGTGCGTGACACGATATGCAATGGCGGCGACAGAATAAGCGACAGCTGCAATAAGATGCCTGAATGTAAGCTCTTTGTGAAAAAGTTGCAGAGATTTCCGGTAGTTTGTATATAATGCTTCAAGAAATAAAGAAAAAAAAATATATTAAGGAGATTGGTAAATATTTTAAATGGATTTAAATGCTGTAAGAATGTATGGAAGGGAATATTAACAGTCCAAAAGTAGTTGCTTTCATAAGATTTTACAGTTTGCAAGGTTTTTTTGGTCATCTTTACAGTTAATTTTAAAAACAAAACAATTTCTATGGATTTTGTGATAAAAATGATTTACCTTTCTAGACTTTAAAATGAAATAAA